ACAAATAAGAGAGTAAGTAAGGTCATCTCTTTGTCAGAAGTTACCAGTTTTAGTCCGACGATTTTTTGGTGGTAAATTCTGGTAAATGTGTCAAGAGATCCGATGTAGCGATGAAAAAGTGACAATGGAAACACATAGCTGAAGATTTCATACTTACAGTGGGATAAACTTCAAACCTCTAATATAAATTAGTTAAATTTAGTTATTATTTTTTTTATCTATTTTAAATTTTTGTTTGGAATAATTTTCTATTAAAATTTTGACATCCTCACTTTTTGGAAAAAGAAGTTCAAGATACAAGTTTATGTGCAAAAAATAAATTAAACAATAAAAGTCTCCTTATATTTATGGAACCTATAATAGAAGAATTTTTATTTCATAACCCAGAATTTATGAATAGCCTACTCTATAATTAATAGTAGAAATTCCGAATTAGTAAGTTCAGTCAAGATGTCATTCAAAAGTTTTGAAGAAAATCACTTTTCTCTTTTGTGAAAATTTGGGACTATGACTTATGCGACTATTGTCGACAAAATTAACGAATAAATGGTTAATCGCGATTAATGATTAAAATTAATTAAGCGATCGCTGTGCTGTAGTGGTTAGAAGTGCCCACGACCAGGGTTCGGATTTGCCTCATTTTGGCCCCTCGCTCGCTCGTTAGTTTGCTTTGAGTTAGCGCAACTCACGAGGAACACGCGAGGCTGTTTGCAAATGAGCACTCGTTAGGTACGAGCGCCCGCGATGAGTAGCCAGCGAGCGAGTAAGCAAACGAGGGCGGCGCAAGAGTAGAGCGGCAAGCAAACGAGGGCCTCATTAGCTCTGGCCTCGCGAGAGGGGCGTTGCGAGCGAGGCACTCATTTGCAGCAGCAGACGAGCGAGGCGAGTAAACGAGCGAGGGAAATGAGGCAAGCAGATTAGACAGGCAAACGGGTTGTTTGGTCAGCAAAAATGTATGGGATAAAAATTGCATCAACTAAGAATTTAGAGCAAACGATTGTATGCACACATGTAGATATGTATATACATACATATATACACATACCCAGTGGGAATTAGGAGTACGTAATAATACCTTATTAGCAACTTACTCTTCACCTGGCAGTCATTACCATTTACCTGCCGAACGTCCCTTACTTTTACAAAGGCATGGCCGCCTTATGTAAGTAGGAATTTAGAATGTACATTTGGTATCAGACCAAATACAAAGTAAGTTACGTGTAATGCAGAGCAGTCGCTCGGAGTAGTTCGGTGCTTGGAAATAACTTCGGCTGCACGTTATTTTGCAACTGACAACGTAATGTGTCTTCGGAGGTGTTCATTTTGCCCTTTACTAGTAGATGACATTAGCCATGATGACAATTTTGGTACTAAAAACTGAAAGAAAACATGGCTTACCTCGGAAGGTGCTTACCTATTTTTCCAGTGGGTATGTATGTATTTATTTATGTATATATTTTCATGCACAGAAGAATAGATGCGTGCTATTTTTGCCAGTTTTATCTACTAGGTAGGCTCATATGTGCATACATATATGTTACTATGTACTTATACGCACGTATTATTCGCAAATAACAATTTGCAAAATGGTAAAATTTGCCGTATAAACGCTGAGTTAACTTTTTATTTGCAAATAACTAAATCACGCAAATAAGTATTGATTAGTGCTACTATTTGCAAATAAGCGCAAGACGCCGCCATTCTTAGGTTTATTTTCTTGTTCGATTGTCATCTTATTGCCTTTTTATAATCAAGACGTTGCAATTTTTAACTTTATTTTCTTTTTCGATTGTCATATTATTGCCTTTTTATAATCAGGCAATATTAAAAAAGAATTTTTCACCATCGAATAAACAGTGAGTTAGGTATTTGCAAATTATTTTTATTTGCAAATAGCTTACGTATAAACGTAGTATATGTAGGTATAGTTTTTTTAATTTTCAATAGCTTATAAAATTTGCGGATTTGAATTTATGAGGTTTTTCAAACATTTTTTTCGCTGTATCGATTTTGCTTCTTTGAGAGTTTTTATTACTTTTTTGCAATCAATTTTTCTTACATAATTTATGTATTTTTTATGATATTTTTTGTTTTGGTTAAAATACAGAAGTGAAGAAATAAATTTTTTTTTTTTTTTTTTTTGAAGTATCTGAATTAATGCGGGTTTTGAAAATGCTGGAACGCATCTCCTGTTCTTGTATTAAAGAACTTTTTTATGCGGCTTTCTGAAGAACGCATCTACCGCATAAAAAAGACCTAAGTGTACATGAGAGACAGACCATACAAGTCCAAGCAAGTTTCATACTTTGTAAAAAAATTTGAAAATTTCAACAAAGTTTTAAACTTTTTAATCACATTTATATGTAGAGCAATGCTTGGTGTGTAGTTTTATAGCATAAATATATCATTCTCACTCGAAAAATATTATAATTGTGTTTTTTTAATAATTTTGGAAACATTTCAACTAGAATGTTCATATTTTTCCATTTTGGTGCCTATGTCTGCATACATACTAGGTAGCATCCATAGGCGGAGGGTGGGGAAACGCAAACGAGCGAGCATATAAAGCGGGTAAACCAAACGGGGTCGATGTGAAGTAGGTAAAAGCTGAGTGGACAAAGGGGAAAAAACGAGACAAACGAGATCAAAGGCAAACAATTTACTCAGGCAGGCAAACGAAGTAACGTAATGGTAAATACATATATACGGTGGACGGCTGCTTTGAAATTCAACGCCAAAGTTGTATGTGAACCGGCCTCTATTCTTTGGTTACGCAAATACATATCCATACATACATACATATGTACATATGTCCTTGAACAACAGGCCACAAATAAATTTTTTCTCCAAGGATTATATTTCATTCAGGTATACAGCATAACTGCTACAAGTAGCAAACTATTTTGGGGTGCTAACAAGTGCTTACTTGTTTTTTGTTTCTGCGGCACAAACGATTATCTATACTATCTTCGTTACTTACTTTTCTCTGTAAAGACAAAATACATGCATATGTACATACATACATAAATACATACATACATACATATATAAATATGCATGTATATAACTCTAAAAAATATCTCATTCCATAATATGTGCTTACGTATGTAATAAATTTTATTTGTTGTTTTAAAAGCTGCCCTAATATCGAGCCCTAACCGCCAAAATAACGTAAGC